GTTAAAACGTTGGGTGCATGCAAAAGAAGGGTGTAAAGTTGTAGAACGGTTTAAAATCATTTTGTTGAGCTTCATCTTATTTTGACAGGTAGTCTTATTTAGCAGTAGTCTCTAACAGACACAGACCAGTTACATAAAAAAGACAACATTATTTTAGTTGACATAAAACCTAAAAACAAGAACAGGTTGAATTTGATGTCTTCCATGTTGTAATAATAGCGGTCTGCAGGCTGGTTTTGCTCAAAGTCGATCAGTGGACCAATAAAAACAGACTGTTTGGGCTGAAAATAGGAACCTGGAAAATGTTTCTGAGCACACATGGGGTGACATAAAAACTTATTCAAGACGTTTTCTTAACTTTGTTTTTCATATTTCCAAAGTATAGTTCAAATCTTTTGAGTGAACTTCTATAGAAATGTTATGAACAATTAATATCTTACTTGTTGTAGATGTCTTGTGGTAAATTCTGACCAGATAAGCCAACAGCCTCACCCCACTGTATTAACACCAGCTACTGAAAACAAGTAAGATACTCATTGTTTGTCACTTTCCTACACCACATCAACAGGTCTGAAGTAACGCTTTAAAGTTAAAGAAAATATTAAATATTCAGTCAATAATCCCTAATGGTATATTTTAAAATGATTCAGATATTATTAATATGTTGGATGAATTCTCCTCCTCTTGTTTAGCATTATATAAAATAACAGTCCTACAGTAATTATAAACTTTACAAAGTTGATCAGAATTAGATTTTTATGTGAATGTATAATTCTTTATTTTTCTTTTGAATTATTTCTTAGTTTTTCTGCTCTATAGCATTTTTTTATAATCTGATGGAAGTAAAAACAAAACATGACTCAAATGAAAGTTCTGTGTAATTTTCCCCACAATACTACAGGTAGTTCAGCTTCACGTTCTGGTTTTATAGATGCTGCAGTGCATCAGAACAACTTGCTGGTTGTTTTCAACAGTTTGAGGAATCATAATCAGGTTGTATATTTCTGTACTCCATTCTCCATGGCTCAGCTCTGTTCGTGAAAATGCACGAACAATGCTCCATGCAAACGCACAATCAGTCTGTTTTCCATCAGGCTCAGGACAGGGATGGGTATAGTAGATGGTCAGTGGAGAAGCATCTTTTCTGACAATCACCAGAGGAGTGAAGTTGCTAAGCAACCTTTGGCCTTGATGATGGGAAATGATGTCATGCTGGAAGACAAAACACGAGCAGACAAATCCACGAGACAATAACAGGTGTGCGCACACACACACACACACACACACACACACACACACACACACACACACACACACACACACA